TCCTCAGAGTCACGTGATGTTGCTGTGACGTGTCTGATCAGCTGATTTAAACAGGGTTTGTCTCTGTCTTCCTACCGGTGGAGGCAGGACGACAGCGCCACCTGCAGTCCCACTTCCTCAGGACAGAATCCCAGGTGTGTGAGAGTAAAAAAGCCCCTCGTCCCGGTTTACAGTCCTGTGGGCATGTTTCCGTATTTCGATTGCTTCTTTAATCCAGCGAAATACGGATATATATTTTGCTTTGGAAATGTTTAGGTTTTTTGTACGTTGAGCCGTTACAATTCTGTGTTATAATTTAATCCACTAGATGGCGCCTGTGCGCTTTGCCTAAACAATGTTATGCGCAGTTTGACAATTTTAATGTGTATTTTTTTGTTCAATATAGATTAATAGCAAGGTTTAGGTATTATAAGATTTGTTGTTGGTAAACAGTAATTGTCAGATTGTCATAAATGGTTAAATGCTTAAAAGGAGTAAAAGGTACACTGTAAGAGCTAATTGTTTTTTATTTCCCTTTTTTGTAGCTCTTACGGTGTGTTTACAAACAAGGCCCAAAAATAAAAGTTGTGAACCATCAGTATATGAGATCATCATTTCAACCGGGATGCTACAATAACTGTGATTATCTTTGTTGGCAGTTATCCCAATGATACAAACTGTACCACAGACAAACATACAAGCTACTGAAACACCAAAACATGAAACAAAGCACAACTCCGGCTCCAAAAGTCACGGCGGCTTTAGCGTTGGTGACCGTGACCCAGAATGTTTACAGGAGATGCAGCTAAAGGGAGCCTTCAAATGAACTCGCAGGGATACAGTGTCCACTGAGCCTGATGCATCTCCCTTCGTGAGACTGGACTCCGCTCCAAACACAACTCAACGATTAACAACACATACTGGAACTGACAGAACTGGATAAGTAGCTAACATCGTGCAAGTCTCAAATAGTACAGTGAACTTAAAAACATTTCACACTCAATTTCCATAGTAAGGAATTGACTCAATGTCCGATACTAATTACGTTACTTATCTTACCATGAGATCTCGTATCTGTTCTGATAAAGCTCAAAACCACACCAAATCTGTTCAAGAAAGCTCAAACTTAGGCTGCGTTCAGACTGCAGCCTGAAGTGACCCAAATCAGATTTTTTGGCCCCTATGTGACCTGTATCTGATCTTTTAATGTCAGTCTGAACCACACAGATCCAATTTTTTCAAATGTGACCAAGGACACTTGGATATGTGCTCCTGAAACTGATACATATCTGATCTTTTGACATGTGACTTCAGTGTGAACGGCCAAAGCGCATTCATCCACCTACACGTTATCAACAAGACACAAACGTCACTATTCTGCGCTGAAGTAGGCGAAAATTGTTAATGAACTCCGTGTCACTGAAGTGAAGCACATCACCACTCACCACTCTTGGCTCCGTCTCCACATCCACACGTTCCTTTCAACGGACGTCGCTGCCGCTGTCCCACAAAACCACGACCAAAAACGGCTCCTTAAAACAAGTAAGTTGTTCATGTTCTGGCTCCGGTACGAGAGGAACTTTAAAATCTCCAGGTGCTCGATGCTGCGTCCATGTTTGGACAACTTCTGTAAACACAGAAACGCTCGCTGCGGTTGACGTCGTCGTGTCTCCAGTGTCACATGCGGGACATTTTTGGGTCGTTTTACGTTCACACAGGGGATCGAATACAAGTCGCATTTAATTGGAAATGTGAACAACCTCGCAAAAACATCGGATTTCACAAAAAAATCGGAATTGAGCGTTAAGCCCTGCAGTCTGAACTAGGGACAGGCATTCGATGAAATTTTCTTAATCGATCGTTGGAAGAATTAACGATCGATTATCGATTAATCTTTAACGTTTTTATATTAAAATTATCATCATTATTATTACTATCTGCACTAATCTGCATAAATAAATTCAACTTTACGACATATAAACCGTAACGACTCTAGAGCCACATCAGCCCGTTTGACATTATAATGTGTTTAATTCAGTTTTGCGCAAATCTCACAGAAACGAAACTTAAAACCGCATCGCTAATTTGCATAAACTAAGCGAAGATAAAACTACAGCTCTTGTGTCGCTGATGTGGTTCAATTTCTGTCGGATTAAAAGACATGACTCAGGTGAATACAGGTTAGTGTGACCAGATTTGTGTTTGTCAAAACCAGGACAGCGTACGGGGGGAGGGAGGTGGGGACTCGTCATCCACATTGAGCGACTCTCACCTGGAAAAACTTTTTCCCACTGGACACAGAAACATATGTGCTGCTTTATACACTGTGCACATGGACTCACACTTGTCCCGAACGGAAAGCGTGGACTTTCTTGTACAAATCATCGTTGCACATCGTTCGCATTTGCACTTCAGTACGTTACAGACTGACCGACTGTTTGTGTCTCGCTCCTTCTGAGGCAGAGACACATGTACACACCTGTTTGGTCACGCTACTACAACCTACATTCGGTTTGTCAATTAAAATGAACGTAATCGATGAAATTCTTAATGATCAATTATCGACTAATCACGCCCATCCCTAGTCTGAACATAGCCTTAGTCTTGTTAATGTGATTTTTTGCAGAATCAATACCTGCTCAAATGAGTCTAGTTTCAATATTAGGTTTAGTATTGATTAGTATCTGATATCCGATGCTTTTGACAACACTACAGTCAAACAGAAGCACTGAACAACAGGCTCTCATAATGCAAAAACAGGTGAGACAATCCTACACGGACAACTGTAGTCATAATTTTACATAAACAATGATTTTATGATATTTTTTCCTTGTATTACAATTTTCAACTCCATTTTAGTTAGCTCAAGATTAGTTTAAAAAAAATAAAGTAAAGCAAAGTAGTCAGTATTTCTTACTTTTGCTCCAAACAATCTGCTCTTAGTGTCAGAGGATTGACAATTCATAAACTCAAATTCACTATTCACAGTTTAGGCAGTTCATCTACTGAGATACTCACTATACGATTTGCTTATTAAAATCAGAAAGTGCCCATTATTTTCTAAAGACAAGAACAATTATTTTATAGTACAGTAACGATGGATCAAAGGTTAGAAAAAAGGAACGGCCATTAAGCTTTCAAAAGAAAGTCTAATAATTGCCACTAATACTTGAGCGCCTCTTTAAGAAGATGGGTCAAATGGATTACATAACAGCATTAACACAGTTTAGAGAGAGGTTGTAGGACCTCATGTAAAGGAACAAGATACTTTATTTGATGGAAAACCTGCAGCCATGTTTAACTGAAGCTTGTGTTATTTATTAATTAATTAACTATTTCACTTTTGGAGCGTAGTTACCAGTGTTGGGAAGGTGACTTTTTAAAATGTATTCCCCTACAGATTACAGATTACATACCCCAAAATGTAGTTTGTAACGTAATCCATTAAATTACTTAAAGTGAGTAATGTAATCTGAATACTTTGGATTACTTGATTTGCTGTAGAGAAACAAAGGAAGAAGGAAATCTTCATATAAGATGTTTCGTCTGATAAAAGAAAATGAAAAGCCCAGACTTTCCTTAACCGTATTAAAAATATTATTGATAGAATGGTTTCGTCCTGTTAAATCCTGTTTTAGATCTATTTTAGACCTGGTTTAGACCTGGTTTAGATCTAGTTTAGACCTGGTTTTAGACCTGGTTTTAGACCTGGTTTAGACCTGTTTTAGATCTATTTTAGACCTGGTTTAGATCTAGTTTAGACCTGGTTTTAGCCCTGGTTTAGACCTGGTTTTAGACCTGGTTTTAGTCCTGGTTTTAGTCCTGGTTTTAGTCCTGGTTCAATCCTGATTTAGTCCTGGTTTAGTGTCTGGCAATGAATGGAATTACTAAAAAAAAAAAAAAAAAAAAAAAAAAAAGGGATTTAGCCCAAAATGTAAAAACAGGACAATACCGCAGTGTAATCCATTTATTACCAATTACCACTCACTGAAACAGTAACTGTAACTGAATACAGTTACTCATAATTTGTACTCTGATTACGTAACTCTGGTACATGTAATCTGTTACTCCCCAACACTGGTAGTTACTCTTGACAGGCGGGTGCATACAACAAGGACCAACCAAACCTAGTTCCCTGCTGGTTAAGGAAGTCCAGTGTGTGTTTTCTGTCAGACTCGGTCATGCACAGCCTTTGTTTTGGTGACCAGTGTTCACTACAACGCTCCAGTGTCCTCCTCTGTTGTCAAGACGCACTGCCAACACAAAATACTGCAGCCAACAATTGGTTCAAGTGACAGTAGTTGTACTTTGCACCATGTTAACGTCATTAAGCTCCATAAAGAAACGTGACAACACTGGCATGGACTGGGTCTGTTGATAACACACCAGATAAACTTGATTATAGCGGGACATGTGCATTACATCTCAATTATAAGACTACTTTATGAGCTACTGGTGTCTAATCTGTGTAGTTTCGATTTACATTTTATGACCAATCTAAAGGGTGTAGCACTTTGGGATTTCTATAAACTGGTAAATTAGTAAATTCGTTTCCAGTGAAATATTATGAAATAATGTTTAAAATCTCAATACACTATTTATTATGTAACAAAGGGGACAGCTGCCTTAACGTGACATCTAGTGACGCTCCAGAGCTAATAAAATGATTTATTACACGTTTAAATAGACCGGATTTGTAGATCAAGCTTGCATAAACACGGATTTATCTTAAAATGTGTCCGTAATGTGTAAAGTTGGACAAAACGCGGGCCACGCGTGCGTCCGTCCTGTTAGCGTCTGCTGTTAGCATTAGCACGCTAACCCCAACAACAAGCACAACAACACCACGTCGCGCACGTCCTCTGCACTTTTCATCACCTAAAACAACCCCAAACGGCTTAGAAATTTTACTAAATCAACAACAGGCTTTGGACACGTTTACAGTCTCATAGTGCACGCGTAAAACGTACAAATCCAGTCAAAATAAAGCAAAACAGAACATATTTGGGAAGTATTTTTACCTGAACGCGGGCTCCTCTTTGTTACATCTTGGAGGCGGCGAGGAAAAAGCGTTATTTTTCTTGTTGAAAAGTTTCTGAAACAGCGTCGGAGGCATCGTGTACCAAAATCAATTCGGTACAAGAAGTCTAGCGTCTGCCAGAGCTTCTCTGATCAAGCCCGAGGACGATTGTTCCTTGAAACTGCGTGGTCCATGGGTGTCAGAGTCATATGACAGGCATTAGTCACAGTGCGGATCTGCCTGGATACCGGACCCCGAACTATTTTCTGATTGGTTGAAACCGGCGGCAAAAAATCGGATTGGTTGATATTTTTGTCCCCGTCACATGGTTTAAGGACTCACTTCGGGTTTGTGTTATGCTGGGAAGCCACACAAGAACGCATTTGACTAAGTAAATCATGTGCAACTTCAGTAAAAAAAAAAAAAATAGGCCTACATTCCAACACATCAAAATAAACAACTTTTTTGTGAAAGGGAAGGAAACTATAACTTAAGAGGCTTTTTGAATTTTAAATTGCCTCGTGCTCGAACGACAAGAAAAAGTTTTTGTGTCTCTGTTTGTGGTGTGAAATTATGGAATAACTTGAAAATAAAATTTAAACTTTGTTCAAATATACATGTATTCAAAAGGGCAATTAAAAAATGTATTATTTCAAAAATACTGTGCAGAAGAAATTAGTGCTTAGTGTATATGTGTGCATGTATGTATATGTATATATAATGTGTATGTAGGTATGTATATATTATGTCTGTGTATATGATGTGTACTATCTATCTGTGTACATAATATACATATATTTGTTGTTGTTGTTAGATTTGTAATGCAATGCAGGTACTGTGCAATTATTGCTTATAATGTACAGGAAATGAGAAGTCTGTATGTGTTCTTTGTTAATTTGGGACGGTAGAAAAAAGGGATGGGGTTAAATAAGTATTTACTTTCTCCCACTCCTTTTTCGGACACAAGGAAAATTCTGCATAACATTTATTTTGCCTGTTATTATAGAATAGAAATAGTTACTTTTTGTGTTATATCTATGTATTTACGTGTTGTTGTTTTTTGTGTTTTTTTTAATGTTCTATGTAATTACTGTCCGAATAAATATTCATTCATAATAAGTCAACTGAAGCATGCCTGGTTATTGCAACAAAATGTATAAGCCAAGCTCTTTCACTTTGTTGAAGTGTGAGTGAACTACTGGAAAAATAAAACTGAAATGCATAGTAAATTACTTCTTAAAATAGGCCTATATGAAAATAAATATAGTTGAAATAAACATTTAAACAGGGTAGTTTTACTTAACAAATTTAATCGCAGTTCACAAAAATATCAGTGGATAATAAATCTGGTCCAAAATATAATATTCAGATTTCAAGCAATTTTAACTTCCATTTTAAACAATTTTCATCCATCTAAGACTATTTAGAGTTATATAAGATGTTAAAGGTGTGTTATCACGTAACTTTTCATCTATTTAAGGCTATAGTTTAACGCATTTGAATATGTAAATCATGTGCAACTTCAATAAAAATAGGCCATCAAGATAATAAGTCAACTGAAGTATGCCTAGTTGAAACAGTTGAAATAAAGAACTACCACTAACAGTTGAAATAAACATTTAAAGAAAAAACAACAACATAGTTTTACTTAACAAATTCAATCGCAGTTCACAAAAATATCTTACGGCATGACATTTATTCAAGGACACACAATAAAATGTGAAAAATGCACAACAGCATAACAGAAGATCGGCCAACAGAGACAAGACAACGACATAAGCAAGTTTAGCTCGTAAAGCAAGAGTGACATCTAGTGGTCAAATAGTCATGGACACATAAACACAGACTCACTATGATTTGACAATATTTCCTTTTTTTTTTTTTTTTTTCTTTTTCTTTTTAAACCTCACATGAACTTGCGGGAATACTGAACAACAGATTTCAAGATTTATTTAAGTCTACAACGTTTGTTTTAAAGGAGCATATTTCTAAAGAGATCGTTTGGCTTCACAAAACAAAAATATCAATTTTGTATAGGCTACCAGTATAAACATCTATGAGTAAAAAAAAAAAAAAAGAACTGGGTAAACAATGTCCAACTGAATAATGAAACTGTTCCAAAATATAATATTCACATTTCAAGCAATTTTAACTTCCATTTTAAACAATTTTCATCCATCTAAGACTATTTAGAGTTATATAAGATGTTAAAGGTGTGTTATCACGTAACGTTTTGGTGCATGGTCCACAACCTGCCTGTTTCTAAAGGAGATGATATTGCTTGCCTGGAATGTTCCACAGTATGGTAGGGGTGTGCAAAAATATAAAAATATCGATATATCGTATTGTTTAATGTGATGATGCAGTATCGATGGGCTGATGTATCGATATATCCCCAAGAGTATTTTTTGGTTCATTTTACTAAATTATTTTGTTACAATGCTACAGTTTTGTTGTTTATTTAGTGGAAGGAAACTTGTTTATGCAACACATTTGACATTTTCACTGTTTTGATGATTAAAATGTTTGTGTTTCATATGAACTTCGCACAAAAAGTGGTTTAACAAAGACTTTTAGTGTTAAAGTCATGATTTAGCTTTTATTTTTATTGAACAGTATCGACTCGATTTGAAATATATCGTATCGAATTGAAAGTGCACTGCATCGAGATATGTATCGTATCGTGGCCTGTGTATTGAGGTATGTATCGTATCGGCAACTTCTTAATGATACCCAGCCCTACAGTATGGCATTAAACTTACTCATCTTGCATTTTGTGAAGTAGTGTTTCTTATTGCAAATAGTATGTTAAAAACATGCATTCTCACCATAAGATGGATCACCTCTCCACAGATCTTACCTGTGACTTGGCTTTATGTTATGTCCTTGGCCATAGTGTGGAACATTCCAGGAAAAGCAATTACATCTCCATAGAGACAAGCAGGTGCTGGGCAATGCACTGAAAAAACTTACTTCATGTTTAGTTTCCCTTCGCTGCTGTCAAAGGAAATATGATTGTACTGTTGAGTTTGGAACATCTTTTTCTCATTTTGGAGAAGTAACTTTCCTGTTCAGAGTTGGAGGCAAAGTCAAAAAACACTCCTCCATCGATGTCTTCGGTCTCTGTGTTCATCACCTCGGGCTCTATGTTCTGATGAGGGCTGGAGGGGGCACGCCTTCTCATCTTCTCTTTACTTCTCGGTTTGGGCCTTGGTGTGTTTTTTATTTTTTCAGAAAATAAAGGACTTCGGAACCACACCTGCTTTTTGAAACACATTTTTTTGATGAGAAGCTGCTGAAACAGATTGAATAACACACACTAAATTAAACTATGTATGACGTAATATCCAAATCTCACACCATCTGCACTGTTTTCTCTTGACCCTGCCTTTATTGTATTTTCTTCATTGGTACCTTGCTGCATTCTTTGCTTATTTTATTCATAATTTATTTTGCAATAATAATTTAGATATACAATGTTTTTAATATAATACTATGGTAGCAATTTCACATCACACAATTTGTTATACATGGGCAAGGTGGGAGATGTGTCTAGCCAAAGGACATAACAGAAGAAAGCAATGTACTATGCAGCCACGTACCAAGGATCTAACCGTCAACCTTTGGGTCTTAAAGGGATAGTTCAGGTTTTTTGACATGAACTTTTTACTGTATGTCACACTAACCACTGTCGGCTCACCAAAACGGCCAGGAGGAGTCAGTGTGGATGCACCACACTGCTGACGGGGATGACATACAGATTCATGTCAACAAACCTGAACTATCCCTTTAAAATGAACAATAAAAACACATACTTACAGCTGGTGGTGTTTGTGCTTTGTTTCAAAAAAAAAAAAAAAAAAAGAAGAAGATGAGCATTAGTTGCATGATGCACTTCAAAACTAAACATTTATTTCCGACCTTACCTTTTAATATTTCACCGTTGTCTGACACCCTTTGGTTTGAGCTAAACGTGATACATTCAGTTTAGTTTAGTTGAGATTTGCATAATACTGTAAACATGCACATTTCCATCACATTTCCACTCACACGAGGTCCTGAGGGTCATTTTCTGCAAGAATTGTGGGGGCATCTGGAAACACAATTTGACAGTGTAGGTTAATAACAGACAAATAATTACGCTGACAAACGTAAACTGCAATACTGATCCAAAACAACAAAATACTGCTCGACCAGGCCCTCGTATCATCAAGGCCCTGTATCATCATAGTGGCCTTCATTAAACCAAGCAACGGATTTTCATTTTTTGAACATTTATTACGACTAGGAGTTTGAATAAAAAAAAAAAAAAATCACAAAAAAGTACAGAGTTGTGTGCTGACTTAGGGGGTAGGTGAAAACAACTTCTTGAGCCCCCAAGTCTACAGTTCAGGACAACAGAGAATCACTCATGCATCAATCAGCGGAAACAGTTGCCTGGCCAGTCAAAACCACATACTTGGACCGTACCAATAGGAGGGTTTCAGTCACGTGATCATGATGATGCGCGAATTTCAGGTGGAGGGCAGGAAGTGAAGACAAACACGACAAACAAACACGGCTCTGGAGAACACAGATATGGAGAAGAGTTCTTATTGTCAGGATTTAGAGCCAGTAGCGAGGCAAAAGTACGAGCAGTTAGTCGACAAATATATTGGGCGTGACCCCGATCTTATTGAAAATGAGAGAATTTTCAACCGAAGTAAAAGATTTGCAGACAATCGAGGCAGAGGAGATCACAAACTATTGAACTCTTCAGACATCGTTCTACACCAGACAACAGATGAAGGCAAAGTACAAAAGTTTGGAGGCATAGAACTTTTTTTGTCAGTGGATGGATCCTCAACCTCGGTGCAAAACGCCTAAATGATGATTATGGTTTGGTCTTCGCCGGGGTGAGTGTTTCTCTTATTTTATGTGTATAGACGTTATGGGAAAAACTGCAGTGTATCGGCAGTGACCTCGATCTGAACTATTTAATGTCAACAAACTTCGTCAGCTGTTAGTCGTTAATGATTCGTTTATGTTTAGGTAAACCACAAAAAACAATTTAGCTTTGTAACAAACCTTTGACGAAGTGTTCACTGCAGACACGAGTATGAGCGAATTCTACTCCTCCCGACCGCAAACAGGTTTGTAATCCACTTTTGTTCTGTCGGCTTTTCCCATTTCTGACCTTTGTGGACGACTATATTCGGTTCTCTAAAAAAATCGCTTTTCCTTCTCTCGGTTAGAACGATTGGCACAGCCGTAAACTACACAACACATCGGCATTTTCCTCCAGTCAGTTCACTTCCTGCCCTCCATCTGATTTTGCGTGCTGACAAACTTTGCCTGTGACGTCACGTGAAACCCAGATATTCAACAAACTGGAGCTATATCCTGTCTCTTTTATATAATATATAATAAGATAAGATAATCCTTTATTGTCTCACATGGGAGAAATTTGTCTTGGGACAGGGGGGTAACATGATTTATCAAAAAAACAGGATAACACAACACAAAGCAGCACATAAACAAACACCATAAAACAAAGTAAATATGAGACTGAGTATGACCACGAGTGATGCACCAACAGGACTCTTAAATTATCCTTAACAGGCAAACCCTTGCATTCTTCTGTTCTATTAATTATTGCACATTCCCTAAGCCTATGTGTAGTTTTAATTGCACAATCCCTAAGCCTTTTATAATTATTTTTAACTGCACTATCTGAGTTTAGCAGATTAACAGCTAGTGGCACAAAAGAATGTTTGAATCTGTTCAGTTTAGTTTGGGACCCTGAACCTTCTGCCTGATGGCATCAACTCAAACTGACTGTGAAGAACATGGGTTGGGTCATTGATCACCTTCCTGCCGAGCTTCCTAACAGTCTCCTCAAAAATTTGCTGAAGTGAGCTTGGGGCCACTGCCATTATTTTACCTGCTCTTTTAGTCAAGGTAAAAATCTGTGCTTTAAGTTTGACTGACAGGTCACCAAACCATGTTGACATGCCATAGCGTAAGATAGATTCTATGCATGCTTTGTAAAACAACAGCATTACATTGGTGTCAACTCCATGTAACCTAAGCCGTCTTAAAAAATAGAGACGCTGGCTGATTCTTGAGCAGACAGACTGTACCTGTTCCATGCCTGTGATCAGCTGGTGGATTAACCAATCAGAGAAAAGCATAGTCACTCACGTCAAGACAAACATGACAGAGGACTGAGAGACAGCAAAATCAACAATCGCAGCACTAATCTCAAATCTACATGAATGAGAGACGTGCTACAAATGATCGGCTGTGATTCCGCTGTCCCACATTATAGGAGGGACTGGCTAGTGTCAGGGTCATGCAATAGAAATAAAACATGGACTAACCCATTCTAACTGATTACCAGTTGTAGCGACAATTTTAGTCCTAACCTTTTGTCATTTCTGGGTGCAGGGGATTGGCACATTAGATTGTAGAGCAGAAAGGAGTAGGATGGATGAAAAGATGTTTGATAATATTACAGAGTTGAGTAGTGAAAGCTGGACCACCGACCAAAAGGAGAGCGGTAAAAACCATGTGACCTTCTGTCACCCACACACCCAGTACATTGGCACCTGTGCATTTATATAGGGCTTGACTCCACCCTGCCCCCTTGTGGCCAAGCCGAATATAGGTCACCCTGTGCCCAGACAAACAGTGACACAAATTAACCCCAGCCTAAACGAAAGAAAAATGGCTCCTGCAGCAGTAAAAGCTCATAAAAGTGGATTTGGCATAATACGTCTCATTTCTCCACAATAGAAATTATTTTGTGTGTGCTCTTTTACCCATGATGGTGGACAGGTTGGGCGGCGAGTGCGTGTGGATGGTCTCAGCCTGGCTCAGGTCCAGCAGAGTGGAGTTCTTGGGCATGAGTGAGTCTGTGAGGTCCATGGGGAAAGTTCTCGATTCCCCTGGTAACACAAAAACAGTCCGAATGATGGAACAATATTTAAAGGTTGGTAAATAGTATAAAAACAATAAACAATGAAAGGAGGACAAATTTGATGGACAGAGTTGATGGAGCAACCAATTCATCTGAATAGATAATACTGATACTTGCAGGTGATGTCATCAGCATCTCCTGGGGATGTGACACGAACTGTAGGTTCTGCCATGTATGTACTGTAACTGCAGTCTGTTCAGAAAGAGCCGACTTAGTTGGACAGGTGAACTCTCACACACAAAATTACAGTCACAAGTTAGCGAGCATTAGACAACAGTTTTTTAGTTCACTCTCACATTTATGTTGAACCTCAAACTCCTAAACATGAACGATCGTATTGATCACAGGCTCCTGAAAATGTGCCATTTAAAATCCATTTGTTTATTCTTGAGTTTTCAGACAATCTTAAAACTTATTTGAGTGTTTGGCAACGTGTGCACTGAGTCACCACAGTATCTTCTGAACACAATAAATAGAAAGTATAGATAGAAGAGATAGTAATGAAAGTATAGATATAGATATATATATATACAGATATAGTAGTGTAGATGGGAATAGTATAGTACAGACAGAATGCTAGATGTTCCACAGTAAAGCATTAAACCTACTTAAATGAAGCTAATGGTAAAACTATTTCAGTAAGAGTAAAAGTATTTATGTCATCTAACACACATGTGTAGAGAACCAGATGTCCCTGTATCTCCATGGAGTTTATGCACAGGGTTTCACTTTGGCAGAAACTATCTTCTCTTAGCTGTGAATTCTACTTGATGTCTTGTTTTAAAAATGTCCACTGTTCATGAAATCTTGATAATAAAAAACACATTGCAAATCTAATTGCAATAATTCCATATGTTTTAGTACCCACATTGCAGCAGATTATGTTTTTCATCTCTGAAAATTTCTGGAGAAGGTAAAGTGCTGGAAGAATCCACTAGCATGGGCTGATCACCAGAGCTGTAGGACGTGTCTATGACCAGGCCCAGGGACGAGGAGCTGTCTGAACTCTCCACTCCAGTGACCAAGTCGACCTGTGGAACCTGCAGAGGAATATGATGAGTGTTAAGGAAGAACAGAATAATACTCATGCTGTTCATACAGTGTTCTCGTGTGAGCGTGTACATTCTGACCAGTGTACAGTTTGAATGTACACTCAAGCTCCAGTACTGTATCAATAGATCAATAGAGGCTTTGCACCGCCACGTGACCCTACAGCAACGGTGCCTACGCCGCCATGACACCGGGCACAATATGTCATTGACTTCAGTAGAATCGGAGAAACATGGGCAGGTTTTGTTGTGTATTTGGTTGTTCTAGACGCTCTGAAAGAGATAAGATGAATAGTTTCTTCACTGTTCCTCTGGAAATTACACATCAGGAGCTAAAACAAGGGAATTATCGAAAAAAAGACGCAGATTATAGCAGCAAAAATAAACCGCGAAGAGATTTCCAATGTTACCATCAAGACACCCGAAGTTTCATCAAGGTATTTGCTATTTAAATTGTTTCATAGTTTATTTAATGAAAGAAGCACATTTACTGAGCTAAAATTTCAATAATTTATCCAGGAAAACCTGCACTAGTTTATGATTCAACGAACCCACACTGGGCTCCTGTGATCAACATGACGCACGAGTCCAAGAGTCTGTGAGCCGAACCTCGAAAGAATCGACCATGAAAAGATCCTCGCGAACTTTACAAAGATCTGCTCACCAAAAGTGATTAATTACTAGAAGACAAAGTTGTGGATAAACAAGACAATAAAGAAAACATGGTCCTACGACGAGTGACATGTTTATATGTGCTGGAAGATCCAGTTTCTACTGCCACTCACACTGCAAATGTTTTCTTTTTACATTTTAGTTCAGTAAATGTGCTTCTCTCATTAAATAAACTATGAAATTATTTAAATAACAAATACCTTGATGAAAGTGACGTGAGTGTGTCTTGATGGTATCACAGGAAATCTCTTCACGGTTTATGTTCTCTAGACATAATTCCCTTGTTTGATCCTGATGAGTCATTTCCAGAGGAACAGTGAAGAACCAAATCGTTTTATCTCTTTCAGAGCGTCTAGAACAACCAAATACACAACAAAACCTGCCCATGTTTCTCCGATGCTGCTGAAGTCAGTGACATAGTGTTGCCCGGTGTCATGGCGGCGTCAGTACCGTTGCTGTAGGGTCACATGACGGTGCAAAGCCTCTATAGTTAAATCCGATAACATTAGTGATTATTCTGTTATTCTCTCATTAATTAGTTTGTTATTCCCCCAACAATGAGGAGGTACAAAATAAAAATACAATAAACATATAATTAAGATACAGTTTAGAAATCAGGGACATGAATTCTCTGCATTTGACCCGTGCTTTAACCAGAGCCAACGGGACAAACTGACTGAGTCATTTTAGTCTTGAGCTAGAGTTGGTCAAAACTACCTTAGCCTGTATTATTATTTAGTCAGTTAATTTTCGTTTTTCTTTTTCTACTTTCTACATTTATATTAATTTTATGTCTGGGGGGAAAAAAAGAAAAAGGGCATATATACTGTGAGTTATGTGGACAAAAAAAGCACTGAATATATTACAAATTAAATAAAAAAAACTATCTTAGCCTGAAGATTTGACCTATGGTGGGTCTATTTGCGATGGCAACAGTCCCGCGCTGTTACATCACTAACACAAATCAGTCAGTAGTGTACAGGCCTAAACTAAAAGTGCAGTGTTTTTGCAGAATAAAGTGATACAGGAGATTGTGTTTGTGGAGCAATTATTCACCCGGATCAAACCAGACTGATCTGTGTCACTCTGAATGGAGTTCTACACATTATCAGTCTGGAACTGTTCTCAAGCAAAGAGACTGGAAAAAACACAAAATGCCATGATGCTGAAGCTGAAAAATCACAACGCACGAACATCTTCTCTGTCCACAAATGCGCACAGTGCTTCCCTCTGCACGTTTTTCACAAACTAAACAGGATAAAGTCAGTCTGTCAGCGTCGCTATGTTTGTTTAGGTCCATAGGAGGGTTTCAGTCACGTGATCCCGATGATGCGCCAATTTCAGGTGGAGGGCAGGAAGTGAAGACAAACACGACAAACAAACACGGCTCTGGAGAACACAGATATGGAGAAGAGTTCTTATTGTCAGGATTTAGAGCCAGTAGCGAGACAAAAGTACGAGCAGTTAGTCGACAAATATATTGGGCGTGACCCCGATCTTATTGAAAATGAGAGAATTTTCAACCGAAGTAAAAGATTTGCCGACAATCGAGGCAGAGGAGATCACGAACTATTTAGCTCTTCAGACGTCGTTCTACACCAGACAACAGATGAAGGCAAAGTACAAAAGTTTGGAGGCATAGAACTTTTTTTGTCAGTGGATGTGTCCTCAACCTTGGTGCAAAATGCCTAAATGATGATTATGGTTTGGTCTTCGCCGGGGTGAGTGTTTCTCTTATTTTATGTGTATAGACGTTATGGGAAAAACTGCAGTGTATCGGCAGTGACCTCGATCTGAACTATTTAATGTCAACAAACTTCGTCAGCTGTTAGTCGTTAATGATTCGTTTATGTTTAGATAAACTACAAAAAACAATTTATCTTTGTAACAAACCTTTGTCGAAGTGTTCACTGCAGACATGAGCATTAGCGAATTTTGCTCCTCCCGACCTCAAACAGGTTTGTAATCCACTTTTTACGGCGTCGTTCTGTCGGCTTTTCCCATTTCTGACCTTTGTGGACGACTATATTCGGTACTCCAAAAAAAATCGCTTTTCCTTCTCTCGGTTAGAACGATTGGCACGGCCGTAAACTACACAACACATCGGCATTTTCCTCCAGTCGGTTCACTTCCTGCCCTCCATCTGATTTTGCGTGCTGACAAACATCGCCCTGTGACGTCACGTGAAACCCAGATATTTGGGTGCTTCCACTTTGGCTTTAACACAAACCTCAATGCTGCGACGTGATTGGTCCACCAAATTAACCGTACAGAGGTGGACGCCAAGATGGATAGGTTAGGAAATGACGGTACTTACGCTGCAGGCTTTGTGATTTGCCTCTTGTGTCTATACAAATGTTGTGGTTATATATCTGGCCAAGATCACATCATCACTTCATACAATCATCTCAAAATACATTTGTGTTCAAACCACTTCGACAGTGTTCCGGCGTCACCTGGGTCGGTCATATTTACGGTTTACCTGACAGCACTTGAAAGCAGCATGTGTCCCTCACCTCTGGCTGGAGAGTGTGGACTGCGTGGACGTGCAGCTCGCCCTCTTCTGGCAACACCTCACACGTTCTTTTCCCCATTTGTTTCTTCAGACCTCAACAGTGAACAACAAGAAGAAAATAAAAACAACCGCTGCATTTGATCCTGACTGTAAAAGAGCCGTCAGCATGTTGTGATGAAGGTTTACTTCCAGATGCACTTTACGTGAAACATCTAAAGGCATTTCTACAGATGTTGAACTAGAGCGCAGGTGTCAAACATACGGCCCGGGGGCCAGATCCAGCCCTCCAAGACCTTTAATCTGGCCCTCGGCTGATTTTCTACTAAAATATTTGAATTATATTTTCTATTAAAATCTTGTTAATTTTCTGTGGTGTTTATCACAGCAGCGTCTCCAGCGTCTCTGTACGTGGCCCCTCCCACCAGAGCAGCACAAATGAAGACTTGTCTCTTTCCAAACGCTCTTAAAGGACGATCGTTTTGACTGTTGACCGTGACACCCTCATCAGAAAAATGTCCAACATGAGAAAAGTGGAGCCGAGTGCAGGATTTTACAAGAAAAATTTACTTATTCCTGTTTACATACAAGTTCATGTTAAAACTTTGTGTTGAAATTGTATTTTTCTTAAAGTTTCAGGTTGTTCATAATATTATAATATTTTGTAAAAGAAAGAGTTCATCAATTAAAAAAGATTTCTGTAATAGATTTGTGTTTCTCTGCACAAATATTTGAACTTATTGTTATTTTTGGGGTTTATATGACATGAGTTTTCTGATCCGGACACTTTGGGATCAAAGTCGGTTGGACACGACCCCCGGACCAAAATGAGTTTGACACTCCTGAACTAGACCATTATTACTGGTGTTACTTGAACTCACTGTACGACAAATGTCTGCATAAGCACAAACCTGCCCCTCATCTCTACTGTAGGCTTAAAGGCACACTACGGAACTTTTCTATTTGGGGTCCATCACCTGCTTGTGGAGAGGTTATGGCTTCACCTGGAATGGCAAAAGGAGAAATTCAATTTGTCAACTGAACAAAAGTTGATTTGGTTGAATATGTTTCGCAGCTCATCCAAGCTGCTTCTTCAGCTCTGGTCAGAACGTCTTACATCTGCCTGAAGGAAACAGTTAGTTTCTCACTTCAGGCAGATATAAGGAAGTGTCCCTCAGCATTTTGACCAAAACTGAAGAAGCAGCTTGAATTAGCTGTGAAACATATTCAACCAAATCAACTTTTGTTCAGTTGACAAATTGAATTTCTCCTTTTGCCATGGATTCTGCCTGAATGACTGAGGGATTTTACACACTTCACCTGGAATGTTTGAGATTAGGTAATTAAAAGTTACCTATCACCACGGAGACAAGCAGGTTACACAATCAAGTCAGATCTTTAGAAAGGTCTCACAGGAAGAATGTGAGTTTCTGAAGTTGGTTTAGATCAGGGTCAAGCAATGCAACAAAGGAAAAAAAAATACAGTAACTGCGCTGATAGTTAAACTGAAAAAAATGTCTTTAAAGCAGGAGTCTCCAACCTGCATCTGGAGAGCGACCAGGAGCTCACCACCTCCGTCCAAGCAGCTCACCAAGGGACTTCTGAATTATACAGACTGTGACAAATAACTCCAATTTGATGAATTAAATGCCTATTACCATTGTAAAAGTAAAATTTTGATGTCCAACTTTGTGCACTAATAAATAGATAATGTTTTATAAACATGTAACTGTACCTCATCTAAGGCTCTCATATACTACATTTCTTGCAATCACTAAAGTTAGTAGTTCTCTGTCATTTTCATTTTGTAAAGGTAGTTCACTGGAAGAACGAGGTCCTGCGCCTCCTGCTGTAAAATGTTGATGTCATCCCTCCTGTGTGTGTTAGAGGTACAGTAATGACAGTGTGTTTATGCTTTATTTTTGTTTTATTTTTATTATTTTTTATTTCGGTCACAGGTATATTTTGACATTAATTCATAAACAGTCATATTTAACATATACAGACCGAAAAGGTGCAGGCTGAAGCTTAAGCTTATCATGCCTGCCCTTTATTCCTTTGTCAGAGCTTCATCTTGACATCAGTTCATCTTCAAAAATACAGCAGGAGGAAACAAACTAATCAGTAACAGAACAACAAAGTTCTACAGCACAAACTAAGTCTCATATTTCATGTATCTGTCCAGAGTTAAACATTTAAACGGCTTTATGAAGTGAAAGAAAGTGGTGCACAATTTTAGGTTTTCTGTCCAGTTGTTCCAGAGCTCCACCCCTTTAACAGATTTACAAAAAATTCATAATGTTTGTTCTGATTTTCTTTTTAATAAACACGGTCGTGCCTCTTTCGGATTTTGAACATGTTCTGTAAAGATTTTGGCAGGAGATTGTTGTTTACTTTGAACATGATTTTCAGAGTATAAAGGTAAAGACTAAATCATAAAATTTCAGCGTTTGAAGGTTTTTATAAATAACACATTGGTTGGTTCGTTATAAGTTGATAATGTGATGCTCTTATTGTCTTTTTTGCAGATAAAGACTGGATTTGTATTAGTCTTATATGTACTGCCCCAAAGCTCAATACCGTAGGTTATGTAGAGCATTACCAGCGAGTTTACTGTATAATGAGGTAATATCTGTCACTCACCACCATCACCACTGATTTGACCTTTGACCTCTGAATGTACAGTCAAAAAAACTGAAAATGAGGTGGTCTGAGAAAACATATTCATGAAGATTTTGTACCTTCAAAAACAAAGTATAGAGGCTTTGCACCGTGTCAGAATAATTTTATTATCCCATATTTGCTAAATACTTGTGTGATATTCTAGGCCTATGAGTTAACCATTTATGTAACTACAATTCTTTGATTTATAATGTACCAATCACTTGTATGAAAATGAATAACCTCTGTGTGTTTGACAACTGTGTGCAGTGTCCTATCGCTCTAGTGAACCTCGAGATGATTCCTCACATGAAGCCAACTCCCACTGTCACACATGCAAGAGTATGATGGATGTCTGACCAAACCTAAGGCACCTCCTGTTTGTTAATCATGTTTTATGTGTTTAACTATGCATAGCTTGCATCAGTTTCTTATTATGTCTTTGCTGTTCCCCTTCCCCTTGAGAATTATCGTTTCTGTAACTAGGGCCTCCTAATGAAATAAAAGAGGAGAACGGCCTTGAGCATCAGAACGTGTGGAGANGAATTAATCTCTGTCTTTCTTCTGTTTACAATGTTTAATAAAACCTAAACACACCGTCATGTGACCCTACGCCGCCATGACACGGGCAACATATTCATTGACTTCAGCAGATCGGAGAAAAGGGCAGGTTTTTGTGTATTTGGTTTCTAGACGCTCGAAAGGGATAAAAGAACGTTCTTCACTTCCTCTGGAATGACTCATCAGATCAACAAGGAATTATAGAAAAAAATGGGAATTATGTCTAGAGAACATAAACTGCGAAGAAGATTCCTGTGGTACCATCAGACACACTCACGTCACTTTCTCAAGGTATTTGCTATTTAAATTGTTTCATAGTTTATTTAATGAGAGAAGCACATTACTGAACAAAAATATAAAAGAAACATTTGCAGTGAGTGCAGTAGAAACTGGATCTTCCAGCACATATAAACATGTCTCGTCGTAGACCATGTTTTCTTATTGTCTTGTTTATCCACAACATGTCTTCTAGAATAATCACTTTTGAGCGGATCTTTGTAACGTTGGGAAAATCTTTTCATGTCGATTCTTTCGGTTCGCTCACAGACTCTTACGACTCTGCGTCGTGTTGATCACAGGAGCCAGTGTGCGTTCGTTAAATTAAATAGTGCGGTTTTCCTGGATAAATTAATAAAATTTTTGTTCATAAATGGCTTCTTTCATAAATAAGCTACGAAATAATTTATAGCAAATACCCTTATGAAACTGTCGGGTATCTGATGGTACAATAGGAAATCCTTCGCGGTTTATTTTGCTGCTATAATCCGCGTCTTTTTTTCAAATAATTCCCTTGTTTGATCCTGATGAGTCATTTCAGAGAACAGTGAAAACGATTCATTTTATCCCTTCAGAGCGTCCTAGAACAGTGGTCCCCACCTTAGATCGCGATCAACAATTCGATCTTTGCCGTGTCCGGTAGATCTCCAGCTGAATTCAACAATTTGTGATACTAGATGTGCATTGAAAGTGAGCGCTTACTTTGGTTTACTAACTGCGTGAGGTGGTCTTTTCACAAATGAAAATCATCAAATCCAAGCACAGAAGCAGTCTGACCGAGAGGCACCTCACAGATGTCTCAGTTTAGCTGTTTGCATCTATAAACCAAACTTCAAAATTACCAAGGAAATCAGATTCACCCATCACCCCGAGTTTGATATAATAGAACTTCTCTCATTGACCCTTAATGCTGTTTAGTGATCAAATTTGCACTATTTTGGTGCTTTCACTGCATTTGGTTTGCATTTTGTTTGTATTGCAGTTACACATTTTTTTCTTGCAGAGAGTGTTTTGGTCCCCATTCTGTAATGAGTGCTCCTTAAGTTACAAGATGGCAAAAATAAAGCTGTGTGGAACTATAAACACGATCACTTTTGTTGTTGTCATTTACGTTCATGTTGGTAGATCTTGCTCTTTTCTCGGACCAAGTATGTAGATCTTTGTCTGAAAAAGGTTGGTGACCACTTGTCTAGAACAACAAATACACAACAAAACCTGCCCATGTTTCTGATTGCTGCTGAAGTCAGTGACATAGTGTGTCCGGTGTCATGGCGGCGTAGGTACCGTTGCTGTAGGGTCACGTGACGGTGCAAAGCCTCTATTCTAGTTTTGGGCTGAATAAGAAATTGTGAAAGTTTCAAGTCTGTATTTTGTCCCAGTTTGGAAGTAGACCTTAAAACATGTCTCTCCAGCACAATCCAGAACATTCCCAGCTGCTGTTCCTGCACTTTTCCTTTGAATCACTGAAGAAACTGTAGTTACTGCAACTTTCACGTA